AGTGGGTTTCATTCCAGGGATGCATTGTTGGTTCAACATACAAAAATCAATAAATATAATCTATCACAGAGTCAAAAACAAAAATCATCTCAATATAATCTGAATAAGTATTGGACAAATGCAGCACCCATTCATGTTAAAAATGTTAGAGAAACTAAGGATAAAAGAAACTTTCTCCCACACTGTAAAGGCTACATACAATAAATCCAAAGTCTACATATATTTAACAGAGAAAAATTGAAAGCATTTCCTCTAAAATCAGGAACAAGACAAGGATGTCCACTCTCACCACTCCTATTCAAGACAGTTCTTCAAACTATCAGAACAATCAGACAAGAAAAGAAAAGGAATACAAATACGAAAAGAAGCCAAATTATGTTTGCTAATGACATGATCCTTCCTTTAGAAGACCCAAAAAACTCAATCAGAAGACTTCTAGAGCTAATAAATTCAGCACAGTATCAAGATACAAGATAAACATAAGTAAATCAATCATTTTCCTATACTCCAATAATAAATCTACTGAGAAAKAAAGAATGAAAATTATCTCATTCACAATAACCTCAAAAAAAAAAAAGGCTGAGGAATAAATTTAACTAAGGTGGTTAAAGACTTCTACAATGAAAAATATAGAATATTGAAGAAAGAAACTAAAGAAGACCCTAGAAGACGTAAAGGATATTCTTGTATAGGAAGAATTCATATTGTAAAAATGACCATACTACCAAAAGCATTATACAGATTCAATGCAATCTCTACCCCATCCAAATCCAAAGACATTCTTCACCTACTCGCATTCTAACTTCATTCATATTCTCTCTCCCTGTCTTTCTAATTTCATCATTTCTGAATACTTTTCTTCAACAAACGACATCTCAAGTCTTCTTACATGCTGAATTTTTTTTTTTTTGGTAGTGCTGGGGATTGAACACAGAGTTTTGTGCATGAGAGGCAAGCACTCTACCAACTGAACTGTGTCCTCAGCCCACACTGAATTCTTAATAACTCAAAACAGTCATCTCAAATATTAAATTAATTAAACTGATAAAAATCTACACCTCAAAGGTAGCAATAATAATAGTAATGACAACAGGGACTGACTGGAGCTACCCATAACCAAAGTGCCTCATCATAAAWGACAGTTTTATAGTAACTTGCTTAGAGCTATTAATTCTTAGCCTAAATGGCTTGAGTAGGAATAACTGTGTATGGGTATGGTTTTTTTTCTATTTAATTTTCTAGTCCCCTTCCCTGATAAAAGACTGCTATATAACACTTCTTATTTAGTAGATTTGTCTCTAGAACTTCTCTATCACACCAAGTACATTAAAACTTTATCTCAACGAGAATCTTTAAACCTGTATCTAAAATTAGTTTTCATCCTGGAAGAAATGATCTGATGACCTATCCATGAGTTTTAAGACATAAACTGTACAACACCTACCTGACTACCTCAATCCCAAAGAAAGATTTTAAGAAATCACTGGCTTAATAAGAGATGTGCACAAGGAAAAATATTACTATTACTGATTCTCCTTTTGTTTGTTTAAAACAAATTAGGAAAAAATTAACTGATTTACTGTCTCTTTAAAAGAGCTTTGGCAAAAATAGATTAAAACTTCACTTTAGCAATATATCCACAACAATCTTTTACATGGAAAACAAACAAAACAAAACAAAACCCAAAGTTTTTTTGAAATGGATCTTTAATCTAGACTTCAAAGTCGGGTTTTACAAAAACAGCACCACTTCACAAGTTAAACTTAGGTTAAACTTAGAGATATGCTGTTTAGAGATGTGTTGTTCAATACAGTGTCAACCAGCTATATGTAACATTTAAACTAAATAAAATTTAAAACATTATYCCTCAGCCACACTAGCCACATTTCAAGTGCTCATTAGCCACATGTAAGTAGTAGTTACCATATCAACAATGTGGATGTAGAACATCTTTCTATCATTGCAATAGTTTAGATGATGCTGGTCTAGGAAACTTAGTCACTTAGATTCTCATTTTCAAATACCTATCTATATTGTCTAAATATTGTATAGCAGGTTTGCATTATTAGGCAAAATATAAACAATGTAAAACTTGCCACTTCTATTCTTAAGGATTCAACTCAGTAGAATTAATTAAAAACATGAAGTTGTGCAACCATCACCTCTATTTCCAAAACTTTTCAAGATAGCAAACACAAACTTTTCAACTGTCAAGCAGTAATTCCCCATTTTAACCTTCTTTCAGGTCCTGGTGATCTCTACTTTTCCTTAATTTCCCTAAAGTCTCTATGAATATGCACTTTCTACTTATTAACTAGAATCAAACAATAGTTGTCATTTTTTATCTGGCTTATTTCACCTACTTTAATGTTTTCAATGTTCAAACTCACTGTAGTGTATATCAGAAGTTCATTCATCTTTATGGCTAATATTCTATTATATGTACATACACACTTTGCTTATCCATTCATCTGTTGATGGACATGTGAACGGTTTCCACCATTGCTGACTGAGGTAAATAATGCTACAATGAAAACTGGCCTACAGGTGAGTTTCTTTACCTGTTTTTATTCTTTTGTTTATACACCTAGATCTAAGATTGCTGGTCATACACTAATTCTGTTTAGCTTTTTGAGAAAATACCAACCAATTTTCTACTGTGGCTGTACCATATTACATTCCTAAAGCAAAGTATATAAAGGTTCCAATTTCTTCAGATTTTTATGAAACATTAGAACTTCTGTGACTTTTTTTATTATAACCATCCTAGTGGGTGTGAAATGGTATTTCACTTTGGTTTAAATTTTTCTTATTCTAAAAACCAACAACAGTATTCATATTTTTCATGCAGTTCTTGGTCATCTCTAGAATTTCTTTATATATTCTGGACAGCAAATCCTCATTAGATATTTCTCCCATTCTAGAAACTGCTCTTTTTCTTCTGTGATAATATCCTTTAATACATAACATCTTATACTTCTGATGAAAAGAAATTTATTTCTTCTTTTGTTTCTTATGCATTTGTTGTCACATTTCAGAATCCACTGCAAAATCTAAGTTCATTAAGGTTCATTCCTGTATCTTCTATTTATTCACAAGACTTCAATCTACTTTGAATTAAATTTTGTGTATGATGTACAGTAAGGATCTACTTCTTACACATGGATATGATCAACCCCCACACAAAAGTTAGTTGTTTATATACACCTGCAATGTGTTTGTCTTTTTAACAAATAATGTGTGGAGGTTGTTTTGTATGGGGGTTTATCATATCCTACTAGTTTCTTACATTTGAAAATGCAACTGCCTCATCATTTGTTAAAAAGACAAAAGGTCACTATAAATAAAGATAGTTTTACTTCTTCCTTACTCATTTGGATGTTAAATGTCTTGAATCTCTTTTTTTGTCCTAATTGTTTTGTTCATTGACTGGACCTGATATTCTTCTCAAAAATTAACTATTGATAGAAATCTGGATTTCTTTCTTTTCTTTTCTTTGCACTTAGGGATTGAACCCAGAGCCTCAAACATACCCCACTGTTTCTTGACTAACTTTTAGTGCACTTGTCTTTATGCCAGTATCAGTGTGTTTTGATTAGTATAATGTTTTGAAATTAGGAAGCATGAGTTCTAATATTTCATCTTCTTTTTCAAGATTGTTTTGGTTATGTGGTCACTGAAGTGCCTTAAAATTCTCTAAAAACTTGGGGACTGTTTTTTTTTTTGTTGTTGTTGTTGTTGTTTTAATTTCTACCAAAAAAAAAAATTGGAACTATGATACATACAGATGTTCTTAAATCTACAGATCATTTGGGTAGTATAGGCAACTTAACATATTAACTCTTCTGACCCAAGAACAAGGAAGGTTATTTTCTTTCATTAGGTTTTTTAAAACTTCTGTTACAAATAACTTTTTAATTTTCTGTGTACTACTCTTTCTTTTTTTTTTCTTTTGTTAAATTTATTACTAGGTATCTTATTCTTTTACGTGCTAGTATAAATAGAATTGCTTTCATCATTTCATTTTCAGACAATTCATTGCAGGTATATATAAACACTTAACTTTTGGGGGGGGTGTTGATCATATCCCTCAAAACTAGTAAATTAGTTTATTAGTTCTAATAGCTTTATTTTGAAGTATTTGGAATTTTCTATATATCTGATCAGTCATTTGTAAGTAATGATTGTTTTATTTTTCTCTTTCCATTATGAAATGTTTATATTTCTTCCTCTTAACTAATTGATCTAGTTAGAACATCTAGTACAATGCTGAGTATCGGGGCATACTTCTCTTGTTCCTAATCAGAGAGAAGGCTTTCAGTCTCTCATTATTATATTAGGAGTGGGTTTTTCCAAAAATGCCCTCTATTATGTTGAGGAAGATCCATTTTATTCTCTAATTTTGTATACTTTTATGATAAAATGTGTTAGGGTTTCTTACATTATCTAGTAATCTTTTCCCCATATTAACAGATATTATCATGTCTTTGTTTTTTCCCCCTTTCTTCTACTAATAAATCTGGTGTAAGGCAGTGACTTATTTTCTTATACTAAATGAGCTTTGCCTTCCTGGGATAAATCCTACTAGTTCACAGGGTCTAATCCTTTTCATATGTTGTTGGATTAGGTTGGCTACTATTTTGATCAGGATTTTGAAGGCATGTAGTTTTTAAATAACTGTAAGAAAATACTATAAACACAGAACTAAAGCTCATATTAATCTTTAATAATACTTATTTTAATTAAAGGAGTAATGTATTTAAATTTAGACATGCTATTCAATACTAAAAATTAAAATGAACTAAGAAATAATTTCTCTTTATGCCAATGATTAGTTTTACTCATCTCTTAGTGCTGTTACATTTCAAAAATGTCACTTTTATAGGTCTTATTCTTTTATTACATGTCTGAAAATAAATAATAAATTTCAAAAAGTCTTTAAGATGAATAACATCATTAATAACTCTATTTCTAAAACAATAAATATAAAAATATTTTACCCCTTCATAGAAAACTTTTGCACAGTCCTTTGCTAATTTCCCAAAAATTAATACATTGATGGTGTTGACCTCTGAATTTTCTTTGTCTATTGAGAAAAACATAACACATACACATAGAAAAACACTTATTAGAAATAGCAGTTTTATAAATAAAATAAAACTGATGACAACTATATCTTTAAAACTAGTTCCTTGAAAACTTAATTATGAAGAAAATAATTAAATTGTTTCTGACTCAATTTTAGCTTGCTGTAATACTTTAAGAATTACAAAAGTAAAGTATACTACACATGAAAACCAAAATTATAACAAGTTTCAACTAGAATATATCTGGTATAACATTCTATAAATATCACATTAACAATACATAATAGCAACCTTCTACTATTTTTTATGTTTGTAATCAAAAGTAAATGAAAAACTACTAATTATTTAATTTAGAAGTGCCTAAGAGATCTTTCAAAATATTTCATTTTTATTGATGGTCAACTTTAAGTAATCTACAGTTATTAATGCAGAGTCTCTTATACTGTTATTTTCTCTATCAAAATTTCAGGGTACTTTGCAACACAGATTCTGATCTTTCATACTTGCATATATATGTGCTGGGACAGAAGACCACAGAAGTTTAGGTAAAACCTACTTAAATAATGAGACTACAAAGAAATTTCACTGACAAGGTTGACTAACAATCAGTTCTTTACATGCTCCCTAAAAATATGACCATATTTATTTTTAAAGTGAAAATATCAAGGATGTTAAATACCTAAAAGACCTTATCATATTACTTCTTTTATCTCTAACATAATCCAAACACACGAGCCAAGGATCTAACATACCTAGGAATGAATATTTTTCAAACTGATATCGAGATTAATTATACTCAATACTTAGAACCAATAAGGCAATGCCATTTTTATCAAATCTTTAATAATTAAGAAAGTGTTGAAGAGCAGGGATGCATTTAACATAGTGATAAACTCATTAAAAATGCTCAACAAATATTTGTGAATAAAGGAAGTGGGTGAAACAAATCTAACTGCTGAGATGATAATCAGTTCTTCTAAATAATGGCACATCTTGGCCAAATCATTATAACTGTGGAAGAGTTAGACAAATTCTATAAAGAACCTAACTGACATCTTCTATATTTGGGGACAGAATGTCAGACATTCTCATTCTCCAAAGGTTACCCACTTCCTATAAGCCACTACGACAGAGCCAGATGCTAAGATTCAATTATGTCATCTGAGAGAAGCTAATTTATATTAATTGGCAAACATTTAACTAGTTCAAGACCCTCCCTTAGTAGATTTTCTTGTACATAAAACATCTTTCCAAAATCTGAAGTCTCTGTTTTTTGACTTGGAACTCTTACATCTGCCACTCTATCAGGTCTAATAGCCCCTGGAATGAAACAACTACCACAGAACTACCTATTGCTCCTTTTGCTTACCTCCCTCAAAACAAGTATATATGCAAATTCAAATATTACTGTTCCTCAAACACAAAAATATAGTGGCTACTAATCAAAACCTAACACATTTCTTGAATGTCTTAAATGACCTATAGAATTTTTCTTTTTGGCCATGAAGAAGCAACAAAGACTGGATTTATCCTCCAGCCTTAAAACAGAAGATCAAGAAACAAAATATGTGAAATAACTCTTCTTGGACATTAGACAAAAGAAAGTGAGTTGTGGGTTTTTTGTTTGTTTGTTTGTTTAGGAAATAAAAGCAGTAACCTAGTTCACTGTGGGAGAGATTGTGGGCAACAGAATATGGAGATGGAATCTAAAGTCAAGCAATTTCACTGAGTTAAAAGTCTGAGGACATCACAGTTGTTAGAATTTTCAGGACAGAGTGCAGAAAGGAAGGGAGCCATAAAATGAATGCTTTGAATATCGTTAGGTGTCCTCAGGTCTTTGGCCATACACTCATCTCCAACTGTATGAGCACTCAGTCCTCTGGGAAAGAGACTAGCCAACTGAACAGAGAATGCAGAACAATCTTGAGATTCACAAAGACCTATAACAACCAATAGGCTAGAATAGAAAGAGTTCCTCATTTTTAGAGTACAGAATGGACTCCTCAGAAGGATATTTCCCTAATGAGAAGGCCAATAAGTCCCAGAATAAAGGCTATTTTGGACCTAATTTAATGAAGCTAATCAAGTTGAATCCAACAAAATATATCCCAAACACTAACAATATTCAAAGGGTAACAAATCCAATATTTGATTATATAAAATTCTAAATATCCAGCATTCAGCAACAAACTGCCAGTCATGTAAACAGGAAAAACAAGGACATAAAACAGGAAAAAGGAAAATAAAAAAAAAATGGCCTGGGACATTAAGTAGCTCAGTGGCATAGTAGCTAGCACGCTAGAGGTTTTGCATTATTACCAGCAGTGAAAAAAAAAGAAAAAAAAAATAGAAAAGATCCATGAACAATAGAAATAACAGCACTAGGAGAGAGGAGTTTAAGGAAGTTAAAAACATGTTCACAAAAGTACAGAAAATCATGAACATAGGGAAAAATGGAAGGTATAAAAAAAGAATCAAGTGAACCTTTTAGAAATGAAAAATACTGAAAATTGATAGTATACTGAATGGGGTTAATAGTCAATAAATATAGAAGAAGGTGCTACAAAGAACTGGAAAATACAGAAAACCAATAAAACAAAGCCAATTATTTGTAAAGGTCAATTAAACAGACCTCTAGCCAAAAAACGAACAGGAAAAGAACACAGACAGTAACCTCAAATTACCAAACCAAAAATTAGTAATGAGATATCACTACAAATCTATCAACATTAAAGGAGTATTCAAGAAATGAACAACTTCATGCCAACTGAGATGAACAGAATAACTTCCTTTACAAACACAAACTACCAAAGTTTCCTCAAGACAAAGGGACAACTGAACAGCCTTATATAAATTAAAAGACACTAAATTAAGTATTAAAAGATTTTCCATTAAAATAARGTAGTTGGCTGGCTTTACTAGTGAAATGTATAAACATTAAGGAAGAATTAACAATTCTCCAAACTCTCCCAACAAAGAGGAGGCAACACTAAGTCATGAGAACAGTGTTACTGTGACACTAAAACCAGTCAAAATTATTATAAGAAAAGAATGTTTTAGATCAAAATCTTTCACAAATATATAGATGCAAAAACATTTAACATATTTGCAAATCAAACCCAATAATACATAAAAAAGATAATACATCAAAACTAAAAAGGATTTAAACCAAAATACAAGACTGATTTAATGTGGGAAAATCAATCAAAGTAAAATACATATTAACAAACTAAAAATAGAAGAAACTATGATCATTAACAGAGGCAGACAATGCATTTAGCAAAATCCAACATCCAATCATGAAAAAACTCTCAATAAAGTAGGAACTGAAAAGATTTCCTTAAGTCTGATAAAGGACAATTATTAAAAATAAATGCATAAAAAATTCTGGAATGTATTAAAATATGTGCAATATCTGTCCACTGAAAATTTATAACACACTATTAAGAAAAATTAAACAACTAAATAGTGAGTCCTTACAAAGTTAATGAATCTGATACATGGGTATCATTAACATGTGAAATTTCCAAAGAATCTATAGATTCAGTGCAACAGCAATCAAATCCCATTTACTTGTTGTTAATAAATAAAGATAAAACTGATTTTTGTTTACTGATCTTTTATTCAGCAGCCTCATTAAATTTTATAATTAAATATTATATTTTTCCACTGATAACTTTAGAAATTTTATATATTTATTAATGCCATCTGTCAGTAATGACATTCTATTAATTCTTTTCTGATCTGTATTCATTTTAATTCTTTTGTCTTTTTATATGACAAGGACCTTTTGTAAAAAGTGGTAAAAATAAGCACCCCTATTACATTCCTGATCTCAGGGGAAAGGTTCAAATATTTCCCCATTAAGAATAGCATTTGCTATAAGATTTCTGAAGATATTTTATATCAGATTAAGAGAATTTCTTTATATTCCTAGTTGTCTAAGTGTTTTCACCATAAACTGGTATTTAATTAGACTATACCTACTGAAAAAAACATAAATTAATAAAATAGAATAGATAAAATATTGATGACAATGTGTAATCTCAAAGTCTGATATCCTACTGGTAGAAACTGAAATCCTATTGATAGAAACATAAAACAGAATAAATCCTTTGGAAACAATCTGGCAATACCTACTAAAGACCTAAGTCCACTACTATGTAAATATGATCAAGAGAAATACTTTGTATTTACCAAAACGTGAACAGGTATATACAGTATAGCCCAAACCCACAAAACTAACCAACTGCCTATCAACAGAACAGATAAACTCTTTTTTTTAAAATATTTATTTATTTATTAGTTATTGGCAGACACAACATCTTTGTTTGTATGTGGTGCTGGAGGATCGAACCCGGGCCGCACGCATGCCAGGCGAGCGCGCTACCGCTGAGCCACATCCCCAGCCCCCAGATAAACTCTTAATACACTCAGAAAACAGCATACTGGAGAACAATAAAAAAGCAATGAACTACAATATCAATATTGGTCAAATCTCATAACAAAATGTTCAGATTAAAAAGCCACACATAATAGAGATACTGCCATAAAATTCAACTTATATAAATTTCAAAAACAAGCAAATTAATATATGGCATAATGAGATTAATTCTCCTTGGGAAGATAGTGACTCTGGAAGACAGTATTAAGGATGGTCTTTTATGGATTTAGATGCTAATTACAAATGTATATTCTCCTCATAAAAACATCATTATGCATGATTTGTTCATTTTTCTATACATATATGCTATATATACGTGCTAAAAAAGAATCCAGTGTCTTGAATAAATGTACTTTGATGTATTCAAATTATGAATGCTTCTATCATGTTATATTATACTCATCTGAACATCTTTTTTTGGTCAATGAATGGATAACTTCTCTACTTGATCTCATACATGAAGTCCAAAATTTTTCTATTTACTTCATCTATGGCTTTGTTCAATATTTAAAGTTCATTTAAAAGTATTTTACCAAGTTTCTGCTGCATGCAAAGCTCTAGCCACTGGAAATACCAAAAAATAAAAAAATAATAATACCATTTCCTGATAAATCAATTTTCTGTCAATATCTGTTACTTGAAAAATGTAGACATTATAGATTTCCTGAGAAAATTTAGAATATTTTTACGATCTACCAATTTAATTTGCTCTTTCTCAAGATCACATTTGTATCTGATATTACTTTTTATAATTATTTAGTACATTTCATTCACTCTCCTATTCTGTAAATTCTATGAAGACATGGGTTGAGTTTCAGTCATTGCTGTATCCACAGAACCTTTATCAATGTCTGATATTTCGATGGTTTTTAAGAGTTGTAGAATGTTGAAGTTCTCGGTCTGTTTCCCATTTACTGATCCAGATCATTCTTCTAACCAAATTACAGAATTTAAATTTGTTCTACTTTATAGTTTTCAATGCTACAAGGTGCTCTTCCTAGCTTACTAAGATTCTTTGAGAGTTACTAAGCAGAAGGATTTCTGCCTACATAAGGGCACCTATATAAGAAGTAACATGTTGAGGGCAAATTTTTAAGAAAGTTTAGTTACAATGCTTAGGTCATTATTAATAAAACTAAAAACAGGGAGATCAATCATTGCAATAGTCTAGATATGAGAGTAAAGGTTATTATATTTTAAGTAAAGGAATGAGAAGAAGAAGGAAAGAGATGTTGAAAAAGTTTAGTAAAGGRAAAACTAACTTCATTGCACAGATTTCTGCATTAATGCGACTATATCACCTGCTAAAATCATTTGGGTTATGTATGCATGTAGTACACAAAGGTACATATTTAAAGATTACAGGAAAAAAGTTAAACATAAATTTAGTCAGCTTGCTTACTATATACCTTGAAGTCCAATCTTCAAAATAGCTCTTCCATTTCCACCGTAAGTTAAAGAAGAGATAAGTGAAAGTTTTCCCTGAAATGGGAGAAAAAAAAATTAGTTAACAAAGAGAGAATTTTATGTAATACCAAGATATTAGTAAAAATTAGAATTTTTTAAAAAGCATTAGAATTTTATCTTTTGTGAATGATCTCAAAACCAAAATACAACTGCTTTATATCAACCCTAACTAGTTAAATAAATAAATAAAKCCACTGGAGGTTTCTGACAAGAATTCCTATGTATGACTTCTGACAGTTGTGAAGTCACAACTCTGCTAGAACCAAAACTTTGTGCAAATGCTACTGCAAACTTATACAAAAATATTTCTTTGAGGATATCTGCACAGCATTTGTCTGTACAAACTGATATAGACCTTGTTATTAATCTCTGTGGCTGAAGATTATTGTCTCAAAATATATAATTTTCCTCACGTTTTGTTTAAAAACTTCTCCTTGTGCCTGAAGTTCCTAGAACATATTCATAGTTGACTATGGATACAAATTTTCCTGTATTGCTATTCTATTCCCAAAAAAGCTTAATTAATCTTTAGAGAATCTCTATAATTTTTATTGAGGTTGATCCTTTCAAGAAGTCAATATATTGGGTTCAAAAAATTTTTCTAAGACAATGAATACTGCTGAATAAATTTTTCTAAGGAAAAATTTGAGGGTGTAAAAATACTTAGTTACTAATTTAATTTTTTAAACAATCTTATTAGTTAAGATACAGGTAAAGAAATATATCAACTTTACCCAACTTGGTTTTAACCCATATTGTTCTCTAACAAAAATAAATAAAATTTGAACAATAAGGTTTGCTCTAGAAAGGAATGAAAATCTAAACAAGAAAAACTTGGTAGTGAAAAATTATCTCATAAAAAAATAGTGGAGGGCTGGGGATTGACTCAAGCAGTAGCATGCTCGCCTGGCATGCGTGCGGCCCAGGTTCGATCCTCAGCCCCACATACAAACAAAGATGTTGTGTTCGCCGATAACTTAAAAAATAAATATTAAAGTTCTCTCTCTTCTCTCTCTCTCTCTCTCTCAAAAAAATAGTGGGGATAAACCAATATACTAAGACACAAATACAGGTTAGCCTTTGTTCTACTCTGTAACTAACCAGTCTGTCTGATTCACAAAGTTATTAATCAGAGTCTCTCAGATAAAATGAAGTGCTTAAATCTGAATGGTTTATTACTTTCGTATGGCTTTAAAAGTTAAGGATATTTTGAATATATTACGAGGCTCTTAGAAAACTTCCATAAAGGTATCTATTTTACTTATTGAATAGTTTTTTWAAAAGATCCTAAAACACACACCTCCCACCCTAATAATATTCCAGACATTTATACAGTCAACAATAAAAAGAAATCAAGTTTATTGATGAGACAGAAATCAATATTAGTTATAAGTCAATTTTATTTGGAAAACCGTATTCTTAAATAAATAAGAACATAGCTATTAAGAATACATAATAAGGGGCTGGAGTTGTGGCTCAGTGGTAGAGCACTTGTCTAGCATTTGTGAGCACTGGGTTCAATCCTCAGCACCACATATAAATAAATGAATAAAATAAATGTCCATCAACATCTAAAATTTTTTTTTAAAAAAAAGAATACATAATGATTCAAAAGTAAAGATAAATAGTTCTGCTTTGGAGGTAGAAAGCTAGAGACTGACAACAAAAAATAAACAATTTGCAAATTTCAAAACTTTTTCTTGACCCATTAAAGAGCTGAGGTCACATGTCAAACAACTAAGGAAATCTAAACAGAAAGTGCTCTTTCAGTGAGAGATGGCAAACAACACTTTCTTATCTGGCAAGTGTTATAAACTTGCTTATATGGCAGATGCTGCCAGATTATCTGTTAGAAAAAAATCATCTGACCTTTTTAATGAACTGTTAAAAACCAAGAAAGTCTAGTGAGCACAAACAGAGCTCCTGGGAGCTGCAAAAACAAGGGAATTCACATCCACTTATAAGTTTCTTTCCACAGAACTGACAAGATTCACAGCAAAAGGTGGGGCAAGGGTGACAGGAGTTACTGCAAGAACTGGAGAACCCCTGCTTGGATCTTTCTCATCAATCTTTTTTTCAAAAGAAAAGCATGATAATGGTGGGAAAAGGGCAATAAACCTGGAATAACTTTGGTAAAAACTCACTGTAGATAGAAGGGAGTTACTGAGGGAAAAAAAAAAAAAAAAGAAACAAGAAACTTCTACTCCTGAAACAGATGGTCAGGAACAGTAATACCCATACAAGGGCCAGACCTGCATCTAGGGGCATGGCAAGATCATGGAGAAGGACCCACTCACAAGACCCAGGAACTCTTCACTGCCTGCCAAGATAGGCTTAATCAGAACAGAAAGCATCCACCCATCAAAGACCAATACATATCTAGTAAAAGGTAACATTGTCTACAACTAGGAGACAAGTACTACTGCATGGAGAGAGACCTTATCTGTGGAACAGAGCAAGGCAAAACCTAAAACTAAAGATGAAGAAGACAGTGAGCAAAACCCTCTGGCCATTCCGCCTTCTTCCTACATACAAAGTAATCTGCAGCCCACAGCACACTGAAATAACCATACTAACAACAAATCACAAACTTATCCCTCTTATTGACTAGATTAGTTTAATGCACCACATACAGTTTCAGAAATAAAACTATCTGCTTCAATTTCCATAGTCCTATATAAGGTGCATGGCTTTCAACAATATATTTGAGGCATACAAACAGGCAAGAAGTAACACTGTCTTAGACACAAAGCAACCAAGAGAATMACAATAAAATTACATGAGATTAATCAAAGCAAATGGCTTTGTTCCTCTTACATGTGGTCCAACTAGAAGAAAGGTCTGGGTGAGAGAAGAGAATGATCAGAGAAAATATGAGTTTCAGTTACTGGAATGAGACAAGCTGGTTTCATAAAGTTGGCACCCTGAAGAGAGATCCCTGGAACCAGGGAAGGGGTATGAACACTTAGGACTAGCTAGACTTGGGAAGGGAATACGAAGACTCTAGAGGTATAAGGAAGGGGAGATTAATGACCTATGGCAGAACTACTCAAAGAGCTTTCCCACAACCCAAAAGAGAATGAACTAGTGCTACTTTCACAAACTGCTGGGAAATTTGCAAGTAAAATAACTATAGAGCCTATTATCATCCACCACCCCAGGGCTCTCACAATGAGGTTGGCATGGCCAACCCCCTGCACYTTCAATGGAGAATAGCTCCAAAAGTTCTATACATTTAGGACAAATGAACTGGTCAGGCAGGACAGATTTAAATGACCGCCCTCAAGCAGTGTCTCTGGAAACTAGATCTAAATTGAATTACTGGGACTGAACTGAGGGCCAGAGGCCTTACCAGTGGCAGACCTCATAAGGGACCCTATYAACTCACACTGATCTATGTCCTTTTAGGAAGGACTCCCAACAATTGTAATTTTGTTTCCAGAGATGAAAAATGTGCCCTTGAGATTGTGTTTCTTGTGTGAAAGACAGAAAACCATACAAACAGTGTGATGTGCACCCAGGAGTAGTCTATAAACATTTAAGTATTTAATATAATTCCTTTGGTTGATACAATAGCCCTGAGTTATATATTATCTTGAAAGCTTTACCTACAATGGGAGTTACTCCATAAGGAGGGTGGTAGGAAATCTCACACTGCCTTAGCTGAAGTGAGCAAACATAAATGGAACCTGAGTTAAAGAAAAAAAGCTTGGAAGTTAAAGGATAACTGACCAGTAAGAGACTTCAGAGCCGACTTGCATCCAAGTTATATGTTCATCATTTAACAGGAGATAAAACCCAGGGCCACTCCTTTATATTCCTTCCAAATGATATATTTACATTAAGAAGATGCTATTTCTCTACCACAGAAGAGTGAAGTTGAATAGCTGTCTTACATAAACTCTATATAAGATCTATGGGATCCTTTCTTACAGTACAAGAAATCTCCTTTACATATGTAGGAAGACATCAGGTGCTCATTACATCACCCTGAATAGGGACAATATTATTGCTGAGATAAGCTGAGGTAAAGGGTGTACAAGAATAATATTAATCTCTCTCTACTCTAGAAATCTGTTGCTTTCAGAATAAAAATGAAGACAGACATAAAAATGTAATACCCCATGTTGTGGACTGAATCATGTTATCCTAAAATTTATCTGTCTAAGCACTAACCCTTAGTACTCCACAATGTAACTATATTTAGAGATTTTTAAGGAGGTAATTAAGTTAAAAAGAAGCCATTAGGGTGGGCCCTGATCCGATGTGATCAATGACCATGTAAGAGAATAGGATACACAAAGAGACACCAGGAGCTCACACGTGCATAGAAGAAAAAAGATACAGTAAGAAGATAAACACCTATAAGCAAAGGAAAGAAGCACGAGAAGAAACCAAACCTGCAGACACCTTAATCTTGATCTTCTCTCCTATAGAAATTATGAAAAGATAAATGTCTAAGCACCCCAGTCTGTAGTTTTTTGTTATGAGAGCCCTAACAAACTAAAACACCCTGTTAAAATTCAAGGGTTTCCTAAGCTTATCTGGGAATTGGACACTTTCATCTTGACCTTTTAGCCTACAGAAATTATGAGAAAATAAATATTTAAATCCACAATCTGGGATATTTTGTTATGACTTGGGAGTATTCAGAACTCAGTGTTCCTGAGATATGAAGGAACCTCTGTGCGAACTATACAAATATGCACCATGGGACTTGGAATGGGAAGGGGAACCAATGAAAATGTGAAGTTGTGTCACCTGCTGTGACCTAAGTAATAAACTACTATGTAAATCCATCTAGATGTTCTATCTCCTCACCAGCTGAATCTACTAAAGTACAGCAGGCCAATCTAGGAGGAAAGCACAATAAGATGGTGAGATTGTCATACTAGATTAAAAAATATAATCTAGTTAAAATATTAAAACTGAAAACAAACAAAAAAAAATACATAGCATCCAAAAAGTAAAGATAAAAACATTGGCAAGGCTTGGCCAGGTGTGGTGGTACATGCCTGTAATACCAGTGATTTGGGAAGCTGAGGCATGAGGATCACTAGTTCAGGGCAACCTGGGCAACATATCTAAACACTGTCTCAAAGTAMAATAATAATAATAATAATAATAATAGTAAAAAACAACCCTAAAGATGTAGCTCAAAAGTAAAATTCTCTTGGGTTCAATCCCCAGTACTACAAAAATAAAATACAAAACATAAAAATAAAAATGCTAGCAAGGCTTTGTCACCATCAGACAAAACAGATCAAAGAAAATGAGCAAGCAAAGATCAAACAGGGACATCTCATAATGATAAAAGGATCAAACCATCATGAAGACACAACAATGCTAAATATTTATGCACTTAATAAGTTTTAAAATATATGAATACTCACATAACTAATCAGACAAATCCATAATCATAGTTGAATTTAACAACCATCTCCCAGTAATTTACAGAACAAGCAGAAATTAAGCCACTTTGAGTATGAAAGACTCAAATACACCCACCACATAATTTTATACAACTGATATTCATAGAATACTACACTTGACAACAAAGAATAGATTTTTCTAGAGACCATATGCAGGCCCACAAAGAAGTCTTAATAAAGTTTTCAAAAATCTGATAATCTTGAAGAATATAATTACAAATCAACAACATATTCAGATACATCCCCAGTCTAACATTATCAATGCTTTCTTCAATCTGATATCCTCTTTAACTACCATCTTTCCTCAATCCATTTYGTCACATCAAAATTCATTTAAAATAAAAAGGAACAATAAATTATAAGCTATAAAGCAGAAAAGTGATACAAATATTTTAAAATTCCAGGAAAATAACCTAATTTATAATTAACACTGTGTGACATATCTTTACTTTTTGTTTTTTGGTATATACTCTAATAATTTTTTCATGTTAATTTTAAAATATGGTTTCTACAGAGTATAGACTATTTAAAGAACAGAAAACTGTTATCAAGTTTGAGAAAACTCCTATTAAGTTTCATTCATATGTAAATTGTAAGATTCATAACATCTCTCCTCAGACTAGCCTCAGGATCTACGTGATTAAGTATTTATTTTCTCCTTCACTAACTGTACATAAGTATCATGGTTCAGTGGGACAGAACATATTCACAGCCTTATACAATTTCAGGTCTGCTTCCTTCTTCTTCTTCTTCCTTTTTTTTTTTTTTTTCTTAGTACCAGCAATTTGTTAAGAGTGATTTCCCATAATACTCTGGCTCACTGGACAACCTTGCAAAAAGGTAAGGGGTCTATCCTCAGGTGTGGTGGCACACAGAGGGAGGCTGAAGCAGGAGGATTGAAAGTTGTAGGCCAGCTTGGGTAATTTGGTGAGACACTGTTCCAAAATAAAATTTCAAAAGGACTGTGGATGGAGCTCAGAGGTAAAGTACTTGCCTGGCATATGCAAGACCCTGTGTTTGAAGTGGCACCCCTTTTATCCACCATGGCTGATTTTAGGACTGTCAGCAAAAGAGTCTCTGAGAAAAAGTCCAATGTAGATAAACTTCCTATTTTCGTGTCGCCCTGTTTACTTGGCCACTGGCAGAGAAGATACCAGCACTCCAGGTGCCGGACACCCCCTTACTAGTTTTTCACAAACATATCCAGTATAGTACTTTGAAGAAATGTGCAAACAAGGCCTCTGGCCTTGAGCTGGGGTTTCACAGAGATGTCTACATTTTTAAGATAAGTTACAAATGGGCCATGGTAACAGCTGGCAAGGGGAGACAAGAAAGGGGAAAAGAAGCTCTCCCCTTCTCAAGTGTTGTCCTTGAAGAGTTAACTTGCCCAGGACAGTGAAAGAAAAAGCTGCTTTTAAGTGAACTTCTGCAGATTGTGAGCTTCTGAGCCCCTCCCCTTACATGCTGGGTATAAAATTCTGAAACTCCCTGAACTCAGGGTTCAGGGGATTAATTGAATATAGCAAAAGCTGTGCCCTCTGAACCTGGCTGCAGCCAAATAAAACTGTTTCCTGCTATCTTTGGTGCCTTGCCTCGTTTGTCCCTACAACAGGTTCACTCCCAGCCTGCAATATCAGACTATCCATGAAAGTGACTACACACCACATAAATACATCTCCCGAAACCCAAACTAAATATATTTTATAAGACAACTTCTCCATAGCTAGAGTCAAAAAAAAAAAAAATCTTAGTTGTTCCAATGACATTTAGTATAAGAAAAAATATGATGGAGGAGAGGAAAAGAAATTGTAGCCTTAAACATCTGATAAAACAACTTATTTTGGCAAATTTAAAAAATCTATATCAATGTGTAAAATTTGTAAGGCCTCTGACAGCATGGTAGAAGGGCTTATGCAGGTGTAAGAGTCTTTGAAGCTTGTTCTAGTCAGTAAAACTAATTATATAGTATCTTCATCTACACAGATGAGGATTAATAGTGCCTATGCCTATATCATTGGTCTTAGTGATGATTAAATGAATTAATATACATAACGCACCTACAAAAGGAGCTCAATAAGTATTAACTTTTGTTATTATTTTATTGCTGTTTTTTCCACATTTATCTCCTTACCATATCCCCACTAACACTCAGATTACTATCAAATATCACCTAGATTACTGTAACTGACACTTACTAAATATCCTTCCTCTGATTTTTTTAAATACAATATATTCTTCACACAGGAAGTAGAATAATTTGAATGCAAAGTGAATCATGTATTTTTCCTGCTTAACACCTGCTGAGAGCCTTCATACTTTTATGGTAACATCCGAATTCCTTAACATGCACATGATTACAGCTTTTCCCCAAAAGAAAAAAAAGAGAGAGAGAATCTATCATCCTGTAAATTCCAGTTCAACTTTCCTGCTAACGTATGTAAACCAAAAACTCTYTCATGTTCACATCATATGACTACCACACTTAGTAATAAGAATTAGAGATTGAGCAATCCTATCAAAACCCTCAAAAATACAATCACCTTTAGTTCCCCACAATATTTACTCATCTTTGTATCTCAGAAACCCACTCCAATATATTACAAAATTCTAAATGTTTGCTATGGATAATTATRCAGAACTTGTTGAACTATTCAGTCTCAACTGTTTAGACAAAGATAAAAGCCATTCTTAAGACAGTACTCATAAAGAAAATGAACATAAAATTCTCATTCCCTTTAGAAAGAAAAAAAATTGTGAGTTAAGAAACGTCTTACCTGAATATATTTCTTGCTATAATCACAACCTGGCTGTAGAGATCTGAAATCTACCTTGTGTAATTTACTCAGCTGCTGAACTTCAGGCACCCCACTGACTTGCTTCATTAATTCAAGTGGCATATCAATTCTGCTTCACAATGACATCCAAAGCAAATTCATCTAGGGAAGTTGACAGCTTGCTGCTAAAGACACAAAGACCAGTGTTTTATCCAAAACATACTCAAAAAAATAAGTCTCTTTGACTTGTTTGGCTTTTCATTTTTTTTAATAAGATACTTATTGCTGTTGGGGTTGAAAGAGTGGCAGAATGATGGATTACTTTATAACCTTATTATAATTACCAATATAGAACATTCTAAGGAATGGAGACAATTTCTTTTTTCCATTTAGCGTTTGCATTTAAAATACCTCTAAAAGCTAGCTTTAAGAAGTGTCAGAAGTTCACTAACAAACTTCACCAATGTATAACTGTAAAAGCAATTGGGGAGGAGGTGCTSAAAGTTTGGGTTTTGTTTTTCAATACTCCTGACAAATGTAATATTGTGTAGGCAAACTGCAACAAAGCATCTATTGTTGCTCCACCCTCCATCCCCTATATAATCCAAAGAAAAGATAAACTATTGTTAACTTGCGGACTGGCAGTTAAATCCTACTTCTCAAATGTTGACCTAAAACACTGACTAGTATGGACGCTTAACTTTAACATGTACGCKCCAACTTTGTCCAAGCCACTTCATTTCTGTTAGATCAAGGACTTGTACGCTGCTTTCTCCCAAAACACCAGCCAAGATGCAGCGCACAGCAGGTTCACCATAAACACACATATGGAGAGTTTCCGAGAAATTACTACATCAATGTGGATCTAAATGAAATCAATCTCTAAAGAACGCTGATCCAAGGTTCAACCTACCTCTCACAGACGCAGCAAACTCCAAAACCACTTAAAAAGTCACTCACTCACAAGCTAGAAAGAAAACTAGGAAGAGTTTAGAGACCGGCGCGTCCGTGACGTCACGCGCACGCCGGCGTCTCCGCCTTCGCGCATGCGTACGGGGTCACTAGAGGGCTAACCAGCACTGGTGGAGGACCAGCTGCGCGCGTTCCCAGGCCTAAGGCGCCCTAGAGGTTTTCTGAAATACGTAAAGGAACAGGGCGGGGGAGGGCCTACAAGCCCCGCCCCGTTTGTTCACGCCCACCCAAATTCTCGCCGCTCYTCCTTGCTCCACCTCTTGTCAATTTCCCGCCTTCTCCGCCCGAGAAAGCTGGTGAGCGGATCCTGTGGGCTGCAGGATTCCTAAATTCTGTAGCCAATAAGAAGCTATCCAAACCAGGGCCAGAGTGGACGTTTTATTTGGTGAATCATAAGCTCATGGGAGCTGAACTTTTAAAATTTCTTACCCGAACACATATGCTCCTGAATGCAATTTTTACAGAGAAATATTTTCGAGCATAACAGTGTTCTTTGATAATTTTTATAGCAGGTTTCAGTCATTGACATAATGAGTTATGCAATTTTCAGGCAAATTTGATTTAAACTTGCCATTGGTTTACAATGCAATGATTTTGTGGTGTAATAAGACAAAATGTGAAATGTGAATTATCCTCTAATTTCCAATGTTTTCTCAATCATTTGATTTACGTGAAACCATAACGTAATAAAGAACTACATAAATATTTTCAAGACTGATTTGGACTAAAATGTCAGCTTTGGGTGCATATTTGCAGGAAGAAATAGCACACTGGTTATCTAGTACCTAGTTTTTCAACAGGAAACATTCAAAACAAGCCCATCTTCCCTTTTCCCTCCCCATATCTGGATTCACATAACATACTTAAGCCAGGGGGAATAACTGACAGCTCAGGAGCTGCCACTGGAGGAAAACCATAGGCTCAGATCATATCCTTGTTTCTCCTTCCTAAATGAATCCCTACTCCTGAGCTTTGTATTCCAACCACTTTCATCTCACTTCTGTCAACAATAGTATACTCTCAACATGTTTTCAAATTTCCCTCCTTACTCATTCTTTCCTAGCTGCATTTTAACACTTTAGTTTAGTATCCCAAGCTTATCAAGAACAGGAAGAATTGTTTACTATTATATCTGTGGGTCTTATGCAATTTCTGATGCATCATAGGTGCCGAATCTTTGAATGAACAATGCTCAGGAAAATGTTTTTCTTTCCTCACCTCTAACTTACACTCTTCTCTCCCACTCCCATCCTCACCCCATTGACTGAAACTTACCTTGACAAAAACACTGAAGACTTCTTTGTTGCTAAGCCAAAAGGACATTTCTAGTCTCACCTTTTAGAAATTTCCATAAAGGCGAGTTTATTTGATGATTCTACAGGTAGTTTCATGTCACATGTGAGTTTGATGTCACAGTTCACCATAGGGATACACATCTATGTTCCTTTTTTTGCAGGGCACCATGTTTTCTAAATGTTGGCTGCTCAGATGATATATTTTTCTAGGCAATCAACCAACTTTCTAAGAATTCAAGACTCCATATAAATGTTATAATTACTGTAATGCTTCTGAAAAAAAATGATTGGGGATCTCTTGTAATCTAAGGCATATAATCTAATTTTTCTAGTCATATATCTGTCTCCTTCAAAGTACAAAGAAAACCTTAAAGGCAAGTCAGTAAATTTTATGACCTGTCACTAAAACCCACACTGAATGCATTCAGGACTCAGACTCAGCTATTTCCCTGAGAACCTGTGAAAGGTCAAGGCTTATCTCAGCATTGTAGCAAGACTAGATATTTTTTTCTTCCATTTCCCTTTCTCTCTGCTCAAGGCATTCTTATAAGAATGTATGTATCTGGATTTTGAAAGGGGGTGGGGTGGGGGATGCATTATCTGATTATCTGAAATGTAACAATCCCTTCAGTTTTACTTCAGTTTTTTTTTTAGTTCAAGCAAAATTTAGGTTAATACTCTGTAAGTATCATTTATATTATCATTCCTTTCTTTAAAATGAATTTTATTCATGTAGTCTAGTAGCTTAATTTTAATTCTTTTTATTCATACAAAAATATAAAAAAYAATGTCTATAAAATATTAACCTGTTATCAAGTGCAGGATTTGAGTGACTAATTGCTTTCTTCTTTAAAAATTTTACTATTCATCACATAACTAAAGATATATAAGCTAAAAAATTTTTTGAAGACTACACATTGTATAGTTAAATACATTTTACTTCTAAGATTATCTGATAATCAGCCATGTGAAGTAGTGCATGCCTGAAATCCCAGCGAGTTTGGAGGCTGATGCAGGAGGATCACAAGTTCAAAGTCAAACCTCAGCAACTTAGCAAGGCTCTAAGCAACTCAGAGACAGACCCTGTCTCTAATAAAATATAAAAATGGTCTGGGGATGTGGCTCAATGGTTAAGTACCCCTGGGTTCAATCCCTGGTACAAAAAAAGAAAATAGATTATCTGATAACCAGTATACATTTTGGATTTTTATACATATCACCCTCCRCTTCTCTAAGATCTGTCCTCCCCCAACAAAGTAGTTTCACTATGCTACCATGTTAATGTAATATATTTCATCCTATTCCAGGATGACCAGAGCGATCACTTGATCATTCTACTCATGAGGCAGCCTATCTATTGCCTGTGCTGAGCCAGTTAAATTCTTTCCCTAAAGAAGATGGGATTTGTATTTGTATAAAGTCAACAGAGCTTGAAACTAGAATTTCAAGGATAAACAGAAGGCTAGGGTAGTCAAWGTCCAACAAAGCAAGAAAAGTCAGAGAAAAGTAAAGTGTAAAGAAAGGTGGTACATAATCAGTAGTACACAAAGAAACAAAATCAAACACCATGAAGCCCCAAAGAAAAAGGCAGAGTAGTTTACCGAGTTCTTAATATCTTTGACATAGTTCTTAGTAAGGAGCTAAATATTCTGCTCTTGGGTTTCATGTGACCCTTTTGAATTTTACCAGTATTTATTAGTTTTTATTTGTTAATTTTTGTTATTTGTTAGCAATAGGGCCATAGTGAATAACACTTAGAACTTTCCATAATCTATCTTCTAAAAATGTGTATAGAATTATAGCACTGCATATCACTTCTACCACTACTGTGATCAAACTCACCATATTCTCTGGACTGGATTTCTGCAATACCATTCTAGAAGATTCCTTGATTTTTATTCTCCACCTCCTGTCTACACACAACCAATGGTGCATTCSCAGTCAAGACATTGTGTTGCATCATTTGCTCCTCTGCTCAAAACACTGCAAGAGCTCCACAATGCTCTGAGAGTCAAAGTCTTCTAAGTAGCCTAAAAGACAATATATGCCCTAATCCCTCTGCTATCCTTCTAACTTTGCCTCTTCTTGTCTGTTTATTCCAGATTACTCTGGATTCCTTGCTATTCATAAGTAGTCCACAACAGAGTAATAGAACACTCTTTTCTGACTAATTCCTCCAACTCCAAGAATTTTATCAAAATAACCTTCTCAAAAAAAAAAAAACAAACAAACAAACCGAGCACTATATTTAAAAGTGTGTGCGCACACACACACACACACCTCCAGACATTTGCTGCCATTTTCTTTTTTTCCCCTAGAGCACTAACGACCTTCTAACACACTGTAAAAATGACAAATGACATATTTAATTATGTTTTACACTAGAATGTAAGCTCCATGGGCTCTTTTGTTCATTTAGTGGTCAGCAAGTAATTGATAAATGAATGGTTGACTGAGACATCATGCCTAATGATATGTTAATCAATCTGTCCAGTGATCCACAGGTCCTGTGGACAACACATTTCATCATCTCCGATGTACCAATGCCTGAAAATTATCAGAATTGTTAGGAAGGAAGACACTGATTTTTTAATAGATACCAGTGAGGCTATGGATACTATTAAAAGTAGAAAAACTGCTTATTATGCCAAAAAACGTATAATAGCTGGCTTAAAAAGCAATGAATAATAGAGAATCCATATGGCCTACTCATGGTTCAAACACCATATTTTGTGAATTACAGGTAAATAAGAAAGATGTTTCATTACGACAATAGTCACAATGTTAGTCAAAATTCAAAATTTACCTTTGTTAATATAGATAAGTGACTCTTTAAATTAGAGCGTTTCAAATTAGAATATTCAAACAGGAAGTCTATTTTCAATACTCATTGGAGCTGAAGATCTCCCTGTTTCATTTTTCTCTCAGCCTCAGAGAATTATTTTGCATCAAGTGCACCCACTGTCTTCTGAGCTCTCGCCTCACTTTCTGTGGAGGCTTACCGATTTGGAGTGGATGAAAGCAAATGAAAATGCCTAAGAGGCATCCAAAGAAATAAGCCATTTTCCAAGGGAAAAGTCAATGGCTGGAAATAGATTTAAAAAAAAAAAAGAAAGAAAGAGAGAAAGAAAGAGAGAAAGAAAGAAGGAAGGAAGGAAGGAAGGAAGGAAGGAAGGAAGGAAGGAAGGAAGGAAGGAAGGAAGGAAGGAGGGAAGGAAGGAATCCCAAAAGTCAAGTTAGCACATCTGGGCATCCAAATGTGTGGCCTGTGGTCTATGCAAAACGAAAAAAGCTTGCATTACAGAGGAGAGGAATGGATCTTTCTGGTTTGGACCATGTCATGTGGCACTTGGTGGTTCACTGTACAAAAGGCACAGCTTTGGGAAAGAATGTCTCAACAGATATTAAATTACACYGAAGATATACACTGAGATTTTTTTAAAAAAGAACTCTAATAGGAAAATTCTTTTGAATGATAATTCATTTGAGTGTTAATTCAGAAAAAGATTCTTGGAGAAGCTTGCCTGTAGTAAAAACTCAGTTCCCATCCCCATGAGATGCCTATGTGTGGGGAAAAAACATGTTGCCTAAATCATGTTTGTTCTTTAGGTTTCTCTGTAGAGATGTGAGTAAAGACAAAAAGGAGAGAAATTGAAATGGAACCAGGGAAAAACCAGAGGGTTTGCATCACTCAAAAGAGATGCCACTCTTTGATTCCCATTCACACACTAAAAAACAAA